TTCCAGTTCCTTTGGCCACCTTTCTAATGAAAACAGCTGTTAACTTCAAAATTTGGCTGGAAACTTGTTAACTTTTAGTTTGCGAGCTTTTACCAACTTCAAATTCTTGCTTAGTATAGGGTAACCAGTATCATAAAATATACCCACTTTCATTGCCAGTTTTTTTGTTGGGTTGGATGGCTCTAATTTGTAACCATAGCCTTAAATTTTGCAGATGAAGGCATTGCTGTGGATTACCTTTGGGGGTTGGTTTATGCATACCCTGCTCTGTGAGGTTTTCTGCTTTCATAGTGATCATTGATGGTCTCTTTTTTGGTTCTAAACTGTTTAAGAATCTTACCAAACAAATATCCTTACTCAGAAAAAGCTGTGACATAAACTCTAGTCATAAGTCTACCTATAGCAGTATTGTATTGTAGAATTTTCAGTATTTTACAGTGTATGAATATGTAGGTCCTAAGCATGTAATCCATGATACCACAGTTTGCACTTGTGAGAACATGGCACTGTATGTATAGAAATTGTTATTAAAACACAATTAACCCTCTGTGTGTGTTTCAAACAGTTTTGGTGAATATCTCATTAGTGCAGATACTATGTAACTCACCTATTTGGATACCAATTTATGATTGTATTTCTTGCAGTAGATTTTGTTTTCATATTTTAACATTCAAGTATGTACTTGTACGTATAGATGCATAACATTAGCTACTTGACCACAAGTAATTTTATTAATGTCTTCTTTATATTTCAAATGCCCTCCTATTTTTAACTGTCCTGCTACTTTAAACATTTTTTACATTACTAATGATTTTTAATAAAATTTCATCACTTTTTTTTTCATCACTATAAACTGATTTATACACAAAAAAACAATTTTATATGAATGTATACAAAATACAAACATGTATATAAAAGCACTAAAACACAGCTTAATTCAAGCACTAACTTATTTAGACCTATACACTACTCTTTTTCTACACATAAGAAATTTGTGAAGACTACCAAAGATCAACAGCAATTAGGAATTATATGACATCACAGTGCACTTATTTAACATTAAAATTACTAGGTTCAGTAAACAAACTAGGTTGCTTGTTCAGTAACAAGTATTGCTTAATACAATAAACCTAATGCTAGTTGAAGCAAATAAATTTCAAAGTGCAGGTACTAGTTTAATGCATGTGAATATCATGATTTGTTTTTAATACCACTTTCAGAAGACTCTTAAAACATTTTACAGTTTCTATTTCAAAATAAACGGATGAAACTTTCAGGAAGGCTCATATTAAAATGATAACATACACATCAAAATACATTACTAAGAATTGTTTTGTTTCCTTCATTGTTATTTAATTTCATAGCAAAAAATATGCATGGAATTTCTTGGCATCTCTTACCTCATAATTAGTAAAATGATCAGATAAAAATTAAAATGCATCACAAAACTACAATGAAAATTATCTTCAATGTGACATATATTTGCCACATGATACATGGTACCTCTGAAAATCCCTTTCTCAACCCTAAGCTCTGATGATGGTAGATATTCAAAAGTTGAACGAGAATGCCACTACTACTCATTAAAATTCACGTTTTATGTTCGTTGAATTTCGCACAGAGCTACCCTAGAACTATCTACGCTAGCTGTCCCTAATTTAAAAGTGATAGATTAGAGAGAGGGTGGCCAGTCAACACCACCCACCGCCAACTCTAATCAAGTAGTGGGATTGACTATCACTTATAATATTCACCTGATTATGTGATGCATACATGTGACTAAATAAAGTTTTGTCAGGTTTCTTTTTGTATGGGCCGGATTCTTTACAGTAGTTGTCTGTGATTTGTTGGTGACAAATTTCAACAATAAAAAAAAAAAAACAGCGCATGGTCCATTTGTTTTAAAACAATATATTAGAACAAGTCCAACATGTCTAAAAATTGTCATTACACTGTTGATTGTCACATTGATATCCAGAGCTTTAAATAACTATCTATTTTTTTAGTGAAAGCCCACACAGACTGGTTCAATTACTTTAGAACACAATTGGAAAGACAATTAATTCTTCTCTACTCTGTTATTACAATACAATCTGTGATAATTTCATTTTAAAAATCACCACTATACGCTCTTTATAGCTAAACTCACAATCATGCTGTCTAGATCTAGCTATCGAACTACATTTTCGATGCATATTTATAACCTGACAGAGGTCTAGAACATTCCACACGCTACTAGATTATAATACCAATTGATAACTATTTTACTACACAACAATATGATTCGTCAACAGTTACGTAAACAAAATTGCGATAAACTATCACTTTTAAAAATAACTAAATTTAACACTCTCATTATATAAACTATCTAAATCATATTACTCACATTAAACTTAACTTGAAACAGTCGTGTATATCTAAACAGTTCTATTGTGTATGGTAATAAATAGGATCCTGTGACAATAACCCTTTGTTTTTATTAGAATCAGAGTTTTTCTGACAAGTATCTTTTAATTAGTTTGTTGGTTAGTTTCAAAATACTTGATAAAATGATCAGTTAAATGACTAATGCCTGCAATCGTCATTAGATACATCAGCCCAACTAATTTTTGGAGGTGGTGTTTTCATTTTGATTTATTGGCAATTCTGAGATGTTGTTTAGAACTCTCTGAAGAAGAAAAAAAAGTGTCATAAGTATACAAGTTTCCTATGATAAAGCCTTATTGAAAAAATATCAGTAAAGAGCGTTTCGCAGCATTGGATGTTATTTTCTATGATTAACTTTTATTAAACAATGGGAGTGTAATTTATGGGAGTATCAGATGCAAATGTTTATATTGAAGGAAAGATATGATGACAAAGACATTTAATAGCAATGACATCATAACAAAGAATATTTTAAGTATACTTGACCGTGGCACATTAAAAAAATATACTGAAGTAACGAAGGAAATCTTTTCAAATCACCAAATGGTACTAGGAGTTAATGTAATCGAATTTAAGCTTTTACTTTGAGATTCCAACACACAGCATAAAATATTTATAACTCTCACAACATACACCTTGTTTTCTATTATACTCAGCTTTTATACATTTTATGCAAACAGAGCACACACAAATGTCACTTCAACTGAAGCCATTTCGTTTCCAGGTAACTCTATCAATTCTACATTTCTAACTACATTGGAGTTAGATAGGTTTGTTTCCCCTAGATCCATGATCTTTATTTTATGACATCTAAGAATTATATTCGCCCACACAGAGATATAGTTACGTTTTGAATGCCAAAAGCTAGCGAAGCACTAAAAGCCAACAGCCCAACATATTTGTGATAAAATTTACGTTAGGCTGCAGCATATTTTTCCCACGACTGTATTAATTTTTGATTATGGATTCCAAGTCAGAGGTGCGAGTTAATATACAGGGTATCCCAGAAGTTTGGACCCATAAAGGAAAATACACAACTTATTCTTAATTTACTTATTATTCAAATTGCATGCCATTAACAGCTATACACATATCAATTCTTGGTATACTGTGCCATCAGGGTATTTTCTTTCCTAAGATATGTACAATTGACATTAGAAATGCGTGTGTTTAATTTTTAAGAATATAATGTCTATTTTCCTTATGGGTCCAGACTTCCGAGGCACCTTGTAGACCGACGATGTCAAATGTATAGTACTTCCCTTCCACTCGACGTCACTAACATATATTATTTAAAAATCAATCATACTTAGAGATGGTACTAGCATAGAACAAAATATTTACTAAATACGAAAGCAAATCTCACTATTATTTTCAAATATTAACAAGTAGGGTAAAATATTCTAATCACCTTCCAGGTGGCACTTGTGAGTTATTTCATCAAATGTTCATACTGGTATCCATCCTTAAAAATACTTAAGTTTTTACTTTAGCAAGAACTATATAAATGTGTGCAGTATTTAATGAAGACAGTACAAAGTTACTATAAGATTAAAATAATACAAGCCTACGTTGGCTGAAACTTTTACTACATTTAACTTAAGAATTAGTGATTCATTCACGGGAGTGTTGTGGAAGCCTCATTTTATTGGATGTCTTTGTAACTAAGCTTATTTTAAGAACTGTTTCGTTTTTTTATTGTAGTGTACCATGTTCAGATTAGAAATTCAAAGGTATTTGTATATTAGGTTTTCATAAAACTTTCTGGTAATTTAAAGATGCATTTCCAGTTGTTTGAGGATTTCTCTTAATCATTCACTACTTATTTGTAAATCTCACTATTTTGAGAAGTCTGTATTATTCATTTTCTAAAACAGAATCACACAGTCTGACGTTGTAGTAATTAATAACTGTTTTGATTTCAGTATAATTAAAAATACTTTATATCTGTTTGTTACAACAAAATTCCGATCAAAGTATCAGTCATTATTTTTACAAATTTCAGCATAAATGTGATTTTAAAACTGAAAAATTAAATGCATATTTTATATACAAGTAAGAGCTAATAACTTATGCAAAAATACTCTTATTAACAAAACCTATTGCTCTGTATACTGAGTTTATCTGTACACCATGATATTGAATGTTAATTATATTGAAAGAATGATCACAGCATATTTTTGAAACATAATAATTTGTACGACATAATTAGGATCCCACTTCAGATTTATGAAGATTATGAGACATACATATTAATAAATCAAATAATGTGTTGAATTTTGCACACAGCTACTTAATTGAGGGCTATCTGCACTAATCATTCCTAATTTTCAAACTAGTCGACACCACCCACCAACAACTTGTGAGCTATTCTAATCAATTATTGGGATTTGACTGTCACTCTTATAACATAACCTTGGCTCCAAAGTGCAATTTTTGTTTTCATGAACTATGGAACCCAGGATCCATAGTCTGGCACACTAACCATTGGGCTACTTTCAGCCCTTAAATAGTTTATAACATAACCTTAGGTCTAGGAAATAATGATTTGTGAAGAAAACAAAAATACATAATTTTGGTCTTTCAAACATTTTATTATAACCCAAGCACAAGAATATATGTTAAATACATTGTTAAACAATCACTATAACTGACAGTCAATATGATTTCATCAACTTTCACACAGTTTACTGTGGGTTTATTTAATGAGACCTACCAAATAAATAGTTTCCACAGCTTTATAACTTAACTACCTGCATTCTTTTCATAAAGATTTAACATTATTCTATAATGTTCAGAATCAGTGAGATACAACTCATTCAATGTTTCAATGACAGAATAGAGTACAAAAATGTATTTAATACAGACTTATGATTCTATGTAGTTGACCATCATTATTATTTGTGACCCTATTAAAATAAACAACACATTAAAATATATTTTCAACTTAATTTCATGTTATAAACTCATTTCCATAAAGCTTTATATAAGTTTTTAATATCTTATTTAATCCAACAAAAATAGTGATAAAAAAAATGCACTCAAAATAGTTCCAAGTGCTCAGTCTATTATATAATTTATATAAGCATTTTAAAATGATTATACAAAAATTTAAAACATAGCTCAAGGTTTACCAATTTTTCTTAAGAACAACCATGTTCACAATCATACTGTTCACCATAGGTGAAAGTACCAAGTGAAGACTATTCATTCCACATCTAATATTGTCTTGTTAATAGTTCAGCAGTAGAATATACATTTACAATAATACTTACACCAGACACACACAGAAGCATTGTGCTGCTTATTTTACATTGAGCTTCAAATCATGCTGTTCTCTGTAACAGACAAAACTATAATCCACCAGAAAGGAAAGTAATCTTACCATTCGTTATTAAATTAGGTTTCAAACCACACTACTCTTTTTAACAGAAAAAATCAATAATTATTAGACATGTTATATTCACTTTAATTATTAAACTAAGTTCCAAATCATACTGCTCTTCTTAACAAGTAAATCATAATACTTCACTATAACTTAATTTTTCTCTGTAGAAGACAAACTATTGTAAACAAAAGAAAACCTTTGATCTTTTCTTTCATTGTTAAGTTGGGTTTAAAACCCTAATATTCTCAAACAAACCCATAAACCAATCAAGAGAAAACACACAATCCTCTATTATTAAATTGGGATTGAATCCACCCTGTTCTTTGTAACCAACAAAACCATAAATTGATCAACATGAAAACATTTTTATCTTTCATCATAAACTCACTCTTTAATTCAAACTGTTTCCCTGATTAGTACACAAACTATTGAAGAGAAAATATTCTTAACTAGAAGTTTCAACTCTAAAACGTTTTCTTCAGAATTTTTCTTAATAACCTTTTTTCTCTCACAGGAATACTAAAAGAATTTCAATATCATAGTGTTGAAACAGAGTGATACAAAACATCAAAGATATTTATTCAAGATATCATCTGTAAGATTCAACAAGGTATTAAAAGCTGTGAACAATACATGCAAATATTACAAGCAACATTACAGAAAATTAAACTAATTTTCAGTTATAACTGTATAAAAAGTGAGATCACTAAGTACAGTTCACTTATTTTCAACTGCACACAAAAGCCATCAGTGCTTATCAATCTGAAAAAAAAATTGTTAGAAGCAATCTCAACTTTGCACAAAGTGACACAAAACATTTGTTAGTACAACACATATTTGATGTACGAGTAACCTCATATTTATCACAGGCTTTCGTTCTTCAGGGTACATAAACAGCAAACTAGCATTTGGACTGACTAGTTAAATTAATTCATATTAAAGTCCATGACATTAATGAACAAAATAAAATTTACAATTAATTAAAAGAAGTGGTTTAATCGAAAGATATCTTTTTTTCTTAAATATTTTTATACCTTATTCTTATTTTCAGTATCTTGAGGGTTATATATTAATTCTATTATTTGCATTTTAAAAAATATCAAATTCCAGTACAACCATACAAAACGTAAGTGAAACAAAAATTGACTAATTATGACTATAAAACCAAAATTTCTAAATGATTCCTAACTTTTCTTCTCTCGTCATAAATAATACGATTTATTATAATTTTTTCTTTAATGAAAATAATCAAGAGCTTCTTTTTTTGTTTTACGATGTATCTTAAAGTTTTAACATAAAATGTTTTGTTATTCTGCACAAAAATAATTACATCAGTTCATTAACTTACTATAAATTATATTTAAAACAGGTTAATCTAAGATCAACAAAATACTGAGTAACTGCTACCTAAGTGCCCATATAAATTATGCTGAACTGCTCCTGCCTTCTCTGTAGTTTTGGAGATGGCATTTAAGATTCTGTGCCAAGTTCTCTATCAGGTGAGCACAGAGTCATTATCCATATGAAAATATTCAACCAGAAAATACACTACCTAAAACTTTCTCTAACATAAGTCATACTTTAAGTTTCATATTTTTCAATTATTATCTTTTTTATTTAAATGATCTGTTGCCAGGCAGTACCCAGCCACATACAAGAAAAGTTAATATAAATATGTAGATATAACACAAAAATATCACTACATAACTTTTCTGCAACTTTAATAGTCCAATGTAAGCAGGGATTAAAAACTACACAGCAAGAATTCAATTTTAATACCAAAGCCTCAGATAAAAAAATAAGAAATAAAAATTTCTTAGACTAATGAACATACTGGACCTCTATCAGAATTTCCATAGATGAAAACAACAAGAATACACTGTACATGTTTCAGTAATGTTTTAAATAAAAAACAAATGTACTAAACCTCTTTTATTATTGTCACAAAGAAAACATCATGCATGTTATACATGAAACTTAGCTGTTAATCAATAATACTTTTATTTGTAGTTAATTTCTATTACTTATACAGAACTATAAACTCACTGCAGTTCCTAAGGTTTAACCCTTTAGGCACATACTTTTTTGCAGTCATATCACACTTAAAATCATCGTCAGATAATTCTGGTTCAGAGCCAGAATCATTAACAGCTTGCACAAGTTCAATTGTCTCTTCAAGTGAGAAAACACTGGAGTGACTTGATTCCATTTTCTAATAAAAATTAAGCAATTTTCAACAGCAAATATCACCAATTGTTTGAAAAGCAATGTAAGCCATGTTGATCCGAATCTGCAACTGAAATCAACATCTGTGCAGAATAGACTTTGCCTGACACTTTGTGTGCTTAATTTGCACTTCTAGCAGGAAAGTCAAACTGTATTATGTGTTTGCCATATAGCAACAGGCGTGCTTAAAGGGTTAAAGGATATTTGATAATAGATATAAAGTAATTTTTTAGAATTTTTCTTGAACTGACAGTTTACTAATATAATGTGTCTAATATTAGTGAATATATTCAAAATAATTAATTTTTCAACAATACCTATCAAACAATTACATGATTCCAATACTAATGAACAATGTAGAAGCCTGAAAAGTTCATACAGGTATTCAGATAACAACTTACTGCATGTTTTGTAAAAATTCCCTGGTTTTTCCAGCTACTATTAGCCATTGTTTTTCTAGAAACATGCAGGTATTTTACAACTTACCAATCAATTTTCTTTTTAGTATGCATTTTTCATTAATTTATAGTAACTGGAGAGACTACTTTCTAATTTTACATTTACCATATAAAACTATTGTACTACAAAGATGACCTAAACCTCTAATACTAACTACTAACCAAATGATGTTTACAAACATATTCAAGGAGTTTAAGACACTGAAAAGTTTAATAATGATCTTAGACATTTCAAAACATTGAGAATGCAACTCTAGTACAATAATAAAATAAAAATAATATCTTATTATATAAATACAGAGCAAATTTATTATTACTCAAAATGTCCAAGTTTGAAAAAATTTTAGGTTATATTAGCTCTTAACCAAATTGGTAATGGAAACCACTTGGGAATGAGGAGAATCCATTGTGAAATCGTGATGTTCGACTTTTAAAGAAACTTTCAAAGATGTCATTAGGATCCATGCCACCTGTAAAGATTATAAACTTTTTTTTATCAACTGTTTAATTTATAAAATTGAACACTACAATTACTGAGAACAACTTGACTTGACCATTACTTTTTATTATCAAAAATAATATACTCTTAAGCTGTTGCCAGTTAAATGCTTAATAGACAAAAATCATTTTAATATAGATATTGTAATTTTTAACACTGTGACAGCATTTTGCAAAATGTATTAGTCAGATATGACACTGACACACTAAAAGTACTCTCATGCCCAGATGCTGCAGTCATAGTGGTTTGAAAACATTATCACAAAATGTATATAAAAGCACTAAAACACAGCTTAATTCAAGCACTTTAACTTATTTAGTCCAATACACTACTTCTTTTCTACATACAAGAAATTTGTGAAGACTACCAAAGATCAACAGCAATTAGGAATTATATGACATCACAGGGCACTTGTTTAACATTAAAATTACTAGGTTCAGTAAACAAACTAGGTTGCTTGTTCAGTAACAAGTGTTGCTTAATACAATAAACCTAATGCTAGTTGAAGCAAATAAATTTCAAAGGTGCAGGTACTAGTTTAATGTATGTGAATATCATGGTTTGTTTTTATTAAGACTTTTAGAAGACTCTTAAAACATTTTATAGTTTCTATTTCAAAATAAATGGATGAAACTTTCAGAAGTCTTGTATCAAAATGATAACATACACATCAAAATACATTACTAAGAACTGCTTTGTTTCCTTCATTGTCATTTAATTTCATAGCAAAAAATATGCATGGAATTTCTTGGCATCTCTTACCTCATAACTAGTAAAATGATCAGATAAAAATTAAAATGTATCACAAAACTACAATGAAAATGATCTTCAATGTGACAAATATTTATTACATCATACATGGTACCTCTGAAAATCTCTCTCTCTCTCCTTCAAATAAATAGTTGTGGTTCATTGTTCTTCAGTATTTCACCACCTTACATTTTATTAAAACACATCAATGTGTTACAGCAAACAGTGTCTTCCAGATAACTAACTGAGGGTACATATTAAGGAAGAAAAAACTGTATAATGGACAATGATAAATAACATTCCACTTCCTCCTTTCTTTTGTTATTAAATCCCTAATGACCTCAACAGATGCTAATTGCACACCCTACTTTGTGGAAGGTAATAATTAACTCATTTAACTGATTAAGTACACATCTTTAAATTCAAAGCCAAATACTTATAAAAAATTGAAAATGTGCTTATTTCAGTGTTTTTTTTTTATCCCTCTTCTTTCGTAAAAATCCTGAAAAAATAGCTTATATACATCAACAGGCAGTTACCATACCATAAATTATGGTAATTGAGCCAACCAACTCTGGATGACGGATGCTAACAAAAACCACACACACACACATATATATATAATAGATCATGTCTATCGTATCATGTTGCAAAAAACAGTTATAAATACTTTCTCTTACCTGTTCCAGCATCACCGAGGTCACCAGTATCAAAACCTTTGTCATAGCGGTTGCGTTTGCTTGAATCAGACAAAATACTATAAGCTTCACCAATCTGTTTAAACTTCCTTTCTTGTTCCTTCCGTTCATCCTCTGTAGCATTAGTGTGACGATCTATTGCAAGGTATTTTAAATATAATAGGTAAATATGATAGATGTTTGCATGAAATACATATGATTGCAAACAAGCTCATTTGAGTTATTTCAACTTTTTGAGTTATATCCAATTTCTGAGTAAATTTAAGTACTATTAAACTAATAAATATAAAAGTTAAAGTACCATGCAGGCACGTATTCTTATATAAGTTATAAATATATATATATATATATTATATATTCTTCTCTGCACCACTTATAAAATCTCCTTTGTAAATGCTAGATTGAGCATACAGACAAATCCTATCAGAATATATGAAAAATATCACTGTTCTCTACTTTGAAATTCTCTACACAGCATCCCTAGGCTAAGTGAGAAAAACTCTTAATCTACTCCTTTTTAAAACTTAAGCTAAATTCCAGTATCCAAAACCAGCACTTGAATTACAATATATTTCTCAAGAATCATTAGAATGAATAAAAATGTTAAGACAGGGTTTGGGTCCATCACTTAATCACATGTACAAGTTTACAACTTAAGCTAAATCTTTTACTGAAAAATAAATGTTGGAAAGGTTACTTAGAACTTTGTAAACAAGTTCAATACTAAGGACTTAAGTGAAAACAACATGATGCCAATATTAGTACATTAAATTATAGTTACTGAAGCTGTATTCATTAATTCAAAATGCTTCATACTTAATGTCAAACCATGACTCAATAACCAATTCTACTATTTTTTTACTTTCCTAGACAACAACTGTATATTTTTTTGGGTATTCAAAAACCCAACCTCTAGTATTATATGTATACTCAAGTATTGACTACTAATGTAAAAGTAGCACAGACCTGATAACAAAATATGCTTGGGTATTTATGATTTGTAGTGTTTTGGTTTTTTTATGCAGTTTTATTTATTTCAGACATTATAAATTTTATTGCATGTCTTATGCCTCAGTTTTTACCTTATTTTCTTTAAACTAGGTGAAATAAAACAATTATTAATATTGATTTCTATCTTGAAGTCCAACATTCAAACTGCTTATTTTGAAGTTTCATGTAAAAAAGGTTGGAACTTTCTACTTCAAACAAACTAGTGGAAATTTGTAAGTTGTTCTGAAAAAAAAACAATATTTAAATTAAATTTAATAAGCTTTTAATCATCACTTCAAGCATACGAGTTATATGATACATAAACGATATGTTCCGAAAAACTTACCTGGATGACAAAGAAGGGCTTTCTTACGATATGCTTTTTTTATTTCATCATTCATAGCATTTCTGCTCACACCTAAGATTTTATAGTAATCTTTTCTTTTGCTTTTTCGGAGTTCAAATTTGGCATGGTTCAGAATTTGTTTATACTCTGTCAAGAAATGGTACAAGTTAAAACTTCTAACTTGTAAAGGTTGATGTACTGAATTTAGTTACAACTTTTAGCTTACTACCATTGCAAACATAACTTAATGGCTTGTAATAGACCATCTGGAAATATTACAAGATCTTTGTATTTTAATGTCAAGCCCAGAACATTAAACTGTTTCAACAAAAACCTAATGGAGTTACAATTATTAAAACTGTAAGAAAATGTTTTATTCTACTAACATCTTAATGATATTTGCACATACACTAAATCTCTTCCTCTATGTCAAAATCATCATAAATTGTATCTTCACATGTCAATCACTATCTAATGTTTTCTGGTTCAAATAAACTCATAAGACTGATAAGATAAGCATTGAATGAGTCCCTACTTCTTTAAATACAATACAAATCTTGATCACTCTTGGTTACGCTATGGAAATTTATGGAATAACACATTTACAGATTCTTGATAGAACATCACTTCCTTAAAAACATAATGTCATTCATTCAGTTTCACCAAAACAGACTTTCTTTTATTCCTTCTTAATATATGCTTGGGTATTTATGATTTGTAATGTTTTGATTTTTTATGCTATTTTATTTATCTTGGATAGTGTAAATTTTATTGTATGTGTCTTATGCCTCTGTCTTTATCTAATTTTCTTTAAAATAGGCAAAACAACTTAAGCTAAATCTTTTACTGAAAAATAAATGTTGGAAAGGTTACTTACAACTTTGTAAACAAGTTCAATTACTAAGGGCTTAAGTGAAAACAACATGATGCCAATATTAGTACATTAATTTATAGTTACTGAAGCTGTATTCATTAATTCAAAATGCTTCATACTTAATGTCAAACCATGACTCAATAACCAATTCTACTATTTTTTTACTTTAATAGACAATAACTATACATATTTAGTACTCAAAAACCCAACTTCTAGTATTATATGTATAATAATCAGACATTGATTACTATTGTTAAAGTAGCATAGACTGATAATAAAATATGTTTGTATGTTTCTGATTTGTAATGTTTTAAGATTTTTTATGTTGTTTTATTTATTTCAAACATTACAAATTTTATTGTACTAACACGGATGTACATCAAACTGGATGGCCCACATATCATGTTGACTCTTACCATAACATTAACTTAGTTTAATGGGTTTCTTGAATTCTTCAAGTTTAATTTTCTCAAGTGACTAGAAGTTTCTACAATGGTTAGAAATCAAGAATAAAGATATGATTAGAAATTTAGTTTAAAACAATAAAAAATGGCTTCATTCCTTCACATTTAATAGCAGAAACATCAAAAAATTGTTTCAATTTCCTTTTATCCAGTCTCATCACCTTTATTTCAGCTTCTTAAAGGCTTACCTTGTCTCTTTTCTTTTGCATACACAGTTTCATAATCTCTGACAGCTTCTTCATACATCTGTGTCTCCATGTAACTGTAAAAAGTCCATAATTTACCATAAGTAAGTTTAATTAATCTTAACAAAATCAGCTGCCCAATCTTTCTTGTTCACAAACCAGTTTTTAAAAATCTCAAATTTAGTAAATATTTATTCTTGAAAGCACAATCAATGACTTCACAAACAATTCTATATAAATTCAAACAACATTCAACACTTAAAATTTATAAAAATGACCAGTAACAACTGAATTAAGAACTACAGTCTGATGTGTGTGTGTGTGAAACTTAACAAAGAAAATACAGAAGCAGCTGCAAGAATGATAAAAAAACACTAATAAAATTTTTAATTGTGCCAACAATGGTGATGGTTTTATGAATGTTCAAGGAAATTGTGTCATAAGTTCTGGTGATTTACATAATGTACATAGTTCATACTAAATTACTCAGATCAATTTCAAGAACTTTCTAAGCACTTTCAGAATATTTTACAAGAACTTTTGGAAGCTAAAAGCTACATCAAAATCAATCTTTTTTTACTAAAATTATATAAAATTCCTATTTATTCATTTAAAATATCATGAATGTAGACTAAAAAAAAAAGACTTTGTTTATTGTGCTTATCTCTGCAACATGTATTAAAGTTAGATATATCAATATATTCTGCTATTAGTTTTGATAAAAGAGTTACCATAAAGGATCACATATAAAGTGTAATAAACTTAAAATAAGACCCAAAACTTGAGCGCTTTCGATTAGTTGACTATTCTTCTTCAGGAGAACAAAGGGTCTATTATAATATTTTCAAGTATTTTTGAAAAAAAAAAAAAGGCTCTTTTCAAGCACTTTTAAAGCCCTTGAAATTGAGAATGGAATCTCAAGGGCTTGAAAGTGCTTGAAAAGAGGTCTTTTTTGCAAAAGCACTTTCAAGGATGCGTATGCACTATGAATGTAAGATGAAAAGCTATGCAACAATTTTTTACATATACAGCCGTAACCTTAAATACTCTTGGAATAACTGATGCCTCTAACAGAAGCTCATAGTACAGGTAAATAATAAGGCTAAATCTTATGGTCAGTACAACACACTCTGACTAAACACTTCACAAACTAAAATGTTGTATGTTTAAGCCAAGTGCTTTGAACTATTTCCACAAAATGTATCCTGATAATGGCAAACTGTACTAAACTCTACCTACATGGCAAACTGAAATAAACTGTTTCCATAATACATAACCTGGCAATGCCAAATCATACTAAACAGTCTCTGCAATTACCTCTCCTAACAACAGCAAACTGAACTAAATTGTTTCCACAATACATATCCTAACAATGGGAGACTAACCTTAACTGCTTCAAAATATATATCTCCAAAACTACAAACTGAACTAAAATGTGTGAACAATGTATATTCTGAAAATGGCAAATGTTTCCCTAATACATATGCTGACAAATGGCAAACAATACTAAACTGTCTTCACAATACATATCCTCACAATGGTAAACAGTATTATACTCTTTCACAATACATATCCTGACAACTGCAAACTGAACTATAATATTTCCCCAGTACATACTTTGGCAATAGCAAAGGGAACTAAACTATATATATATCCTTACAATGGCAAACTAAACTTTTTTTCACAGTACATATCCTAAGAACAGTAAACTGTACTGAAGTGTTTCTATAATACATATCCTAACAATGGCAAAGTGCACTAGGGGTAAATAAAAACAAGCATACAAAATATACCCTATTTTACACTGTTGATTAGTAGTGGTAATTCATGGAAGCTTACCACTTAGCTCTTCGTAAGTAGGCCTTAATGTAGTTTTCATCTAGGTTGATTGCTTTACTGCAGTCTTCAATAGCTTCATTAATTCTAGCCATCTGTTACAAGCATTAAAGCACATGAAATATTGGTACAGTTAAAGAATGCAAAATAAGCCTGGAAACACAATCAAACAGGAAACCAAATAAAGCAAAAGGTTTACTCTACAGACATTCATGTAAACTAAAAATAATTAACAAGAGCTTAAACAGTAATATAATAAACTTGGAGAATGTACATTCATTAACAATTAACCAATCTGAAGCCCACGATAAGTCAGTTATAGAGGAACATCCCATTTATTGCATAATTCCCTTTATCCTAAAGGTTTCACATTGCATCAGAATGTATTGGAAAAAAATAGTGAAAAAATATGATATTAATTTATTGGTATAATTTGTGTTTCTTCCCGGCAGAAAATTAGGTCAAATTTTATCAAAAAAATACAAAGATACTGATACATCCTGTTCCGTATACCAAATAGTGTGTGAAAATTGCGACAAAACTTACAATGGAGAAACCTACAGACTACCTAAGTTAAAGAACAGTATAAACCACCTTCTCATGTCCATGAACATATGTCTAAATATGGTCATTCATTTCATCTTGATAATGTTAAAATTCTTAGCAGAGAAAAAAATATAAACCGTCGTGAAATTAAGGAAGCCTTGTTTATAAAACAGTTTATGCCTAAAATAAATAAGTATTCTGGCACACAGTTGTATCTATTCTAACTTTAACTTAACTACGTTGATGTTCAAAAAGGTTTTTATATTATTTTCTGTGAACCACTTTACCTCTATTTACAATTTTCAAGTTACAGTATTTAATTTATAAAATTTGTTGTTATAATATTTTATATTTTTGAAAGGGTACTTATATTCTCCTATTTTGTTGATATTACAGACATTGACCCTCAAGAAGTCAAGCCCTATCAATAAACACCTTCCAGAAATGTCATACCTTACTGTTAAATTTACCCAATCAAAGTTCAACGTACCCTTGCGCTGTATTATTATATATATTTGTAGTTTCAATTCATTCATTGTAGTTGACATACCTGATGATGGCAGGTTAACTTGGTGAAACGTTGTATTTCATCAAATTTTACTCTGTTTATCCGATTTATCAAGTTTACTTTTAATTATGACAGAGTACTTCATTTCATTGTAATAATGTAAAAAACAAATATTTTTTATAACTAAACCAAAAATTAAAGTAACAAAACAAGATTTAAACACAAATAATTATCAATAAACAATACAAAATAGAAATAGCCAAGTCTTGAATTCTGAGCAAAGAGAATATTACAGTTAACTTTCTTAACTCTGAATTTTTGGTTTAAATACAATTATTGACCAATATGTTTTATTTAGATATTTTGAGTTCAGTAAAAATAAATAAACTCCAATATTAATGTATGATAGTTGCAAAATATTCTGAAGACTTCCAAGATACATCTACATTTCCATAAAACAAAACTCACATACAAATCAATCATTTATCTCATAAGACTAAGAACATACTTTTGCACATACAGTAGCTCGATTGAAATACAGTTTAGCATTTGTAGAAATATTACTGAGATCTATGCTTAAGGCTTCAGTGTAGATATTATGGGCTTCTTGGTAGTTTCCCTCCTTGAAAAACACATTGCCCTCTTCTTTCTTAGTTCTCAGTAGTTTGATTTTCTGAGAAAAGCCATCAAAACAGAAATTAATAAAGAAGCTTTAATGCATATCTTATAAAAGAATAACTACACATTATATAATGTAAAAAGTGAAATTTAAAAAAATACAAAAAGAAGTCACTAGAAAAAATGATTTCATCAGAAAATGATGTATAACAAATTGAGATTGTCGTTGAAGAAAAGAAAAATGAGATGTTTCATTTACTAGCCAACAAACTTATAATAGTTACTTCCTGTAAAATTAAACATTTTGAATCAAGTTAGAGTGGAAAAAATGTTGGTCGTAAAACTGCAATATTCTTGTGATTGATCAACCCAAAGTAAAATTTAAAACACAGCAACTGACGAAACTACATTACTTTCCAACAACAACAAAAAAACTGCTGTAGCTTCATTAACAGACTTTACCTATTAGATTCTATATAGCAGGGCTCTTTTCCAAACTTTTCAAGGGGGCCAAAATGGAAAAAAATTAGTAAGTGGGCCAGAATTTTACTCTGCACATTTTTAAGAAACATCAAAAATATTATCTAAATTAATGATAGAAAACTTAACAAATTTCACCATGTGAATATAGTACCTTAATAACAGAAAAGTGTAACATTTAATACAGTATCATTAAAAACATTTTTAAATGTCTTTAGGACAGCGAAGACAAAATATTTTTCAAAATAAAATTACTATACATTTTAGTGCTTGTTGTACGTCAATATAATGAACATAAAAATTTTGCAATTTTCCTGTCCATACACCGAAACCGTCATATGAATACCTCATGTCAGTCTACAATATGAAAAACTACCCCTTTTTAATACTTCAGAGCAATTGAAGTACAGTTGCTTTGTGAGATATTAAAATAAGATGTATCTTTATCACAAATTGATTTATGATGTTAAATTTTTCTCCTTATTTAATTTAGTTAATATTTAAAAACTCTTTGCTGACTGTCAGTCAGTCATTTGATTGTTTCTTGCTAGCCAGATGTGACCAAAGTTGAAGAGCCCTGCTAACAGAAGTTTTAAACTTTTTAATAGAAACTTACCTCACAAAATTACTTGTAGGTTGCTTTCAATTTTAAACTATTTACATCTACATCAATCGTGAAATTGTTGAGAACAGACTATTCGGAGAATCTCTTCTCCCGACTGATCCAAGATAGTCATTTTATATGGCTATTTTTCTTGCAAATCACTATTTTCCTTTACATCTATTCACAACTAGGTTATGTTTCAAATTTACTACAGCTCCCTCAAGCAGCTTTTTAACAAGTTTCAATCCTTCAAACCAAATTTAAATTAAAATATTGGTTTTGGGTACAAAAAAGTTGCTAACAACTACATAAAAACAAAAGTTAACAAGACTGTGACCACATGTCATGTTATGTAAACTGAAAATTACTTGCAGAAAAAATTATCTTCAACCAACAATAATAAGAATAAAAAACACTGCAGTACAAGAACAGAAATTACCTTGTACATTTCCTGAGCTTTGTTGTGATCTGGAACAAGTCTCAACACTTGCTGGAAGTGGTTGAAAGCCTTGTCTATGTTGTCTTGGTAGTAGAGACACATTCCTCTGACATACAGCGCATCTACATTTAAGGCATCAATGTGAAGGATATCACTGTAATAAAATATACATATATAGGTCTGCAGTCGATGAAATTTTACCACCAGCAATTCAAAGACATCTCCTTCCAATACATAAGTATATAATAAACTTTGGAAAATTATTTTCAATAATATTAAAAAATAAAGAGTTTAAACCACAAGCATCAACATCAAAACTTGCACCTAGCTTTAACTTAATAAGATCAAGTAATCAGATTTAAGAATTTCTCTTTAACTCTACTGATATGAGTTCAGTTACTTGCACTGACCTTGTAACCATCATATAACCATGAAACTATACATAATATTATTATTTATTTAGTGAGTATATCTTCATGAAATACGGCAAGCTTTTATAAATGTTGAGTCCCTTGTATATAAAAAAAATCATATTTTTTAATTAAGTATTTTTACTAAAGATTTGTCTGTGAATATATGGATCAAGGGTGTGTCTAAGACTGTGACTAGTTTGAATGCAAGGCAATTTTCTTGTTAAGACTAAAACTACTTTTTTCCATTTTATAGTTTTTCAAATTTGATTTCCTAAGTTAATATCAAAAGACACTTGTAAGTTAAATTCTACATTTTTTCTGTTATTTTTCTCTATCCTAACATTATATGAACTTGATCATTTTGACTGACCTCGTAACCATCACAAAACAATATGAAATAAACCCAAGTTACCCTTTTTTCTTTCTAGAATGATTGCAAATTGTAACAGTTTACATCTGTTTTTATTTAATTTTATTATTTTATTGCTTTTTGGACTGGTTATAACTAATAATCCCAAAATACAAGTTGTAAATCACACAGAAAACCTGAAGTTACCATACTGAATGACTTAATATATGAGCTACATGGATAATTTTTTTTTCATTATCTAACTTAAATTCGATGACGAGGAACCCACTTTGAGACTAATAATGGTTGGAGATGGCTTGAATGGGTAATGAAGAAAAATTTAATATAAGTTTAACATAACAGCAAATGTACAATGTTTCGACAAGGTTTTGTCATCATCAGGTAATCAAAGGAGATTAAGAACTTATTCAAATATTTAATATTAAAATTATATTTATTACTTATGTTTTGTATCTAAGTTTATTCATACACATTGATCATAGTTGTTTAATTAAATATTGAATGTAACTCTATAGAAAGTTGTGACATGCACACGTTGACCTACCAGTATTGAGAAAGTTAATAAGAAGACCAAAAAAAAAAAAAGAGTTGTATTTTTGAATTAAAGAAGCTGTGTTCATAAACAAAACAAAACTTCAGCTAAATGAAATGGTTCTTTCAGTTAATTCTGAAATACTGACATATAGTTTAAAAAACCTATACATAGTCCAATACGCTATTAAAATTCACTATGATTCTTTATAGAACATGTTATAAATTTATATATAAAACGACAGAGAAGGTTCCATCTGTTTCTTATCTAATTAGCATCAATTTACCTTGTAATTTCTTGAGCTTCTTGGTATCTTCTGAGAAAGACCATGCATTCTGCTTTGATCAATTGGAACCTGGTGCAGGCACTGGCTTGACTAAGGGCCCTGTCCATGCAGAAGATGACCTGCACAATATGAATTACATATTAACTATTACATAACCAACTGAAGACTTTAATCTGTAACTTAGAAAAATGTGATTAGTTTCAAATTTTTTGTTTTGTTCAATTAGAGCCTGACACAGGCACTGGCTTCTCTAAGGTCCTGATCCATGTTGAAGATAATTTGCACAGTAAAAATTACATATTGACCATCACATAACCAACTGTAGCAGAAGATACAAATCACACAAAACTGTTGTATGATGAGCACAACATTTTGAACAATCTCCAACCACCACCAAACTGAAAAAAAAACAAAAAAAAACATCAAAGTATTTTGTTTATGTAATGTATAAGTTACATGTTATTCCCAGATAAAACTTTGTCTCCTTGACCTTTTGTTTCCAACATAATTCATTATTAATAAATACACTATTATCTTTTCAATAGTTTATGGTTAGTGAAGTGTTTTATAAATATTAATCTTTTTTTGTATTTGAAGGAAATTTCAACAAGGACAACAAATGTGCACACTTTGATGCTCCTATTGTTACTTATTCTGTAGTTAATGCATAAACAGATGTATATAGTATATATGGCATCACTAAACACTGCACTGATTACACATCAACCACTGAAGCTAAAATTCACATATAAACTGTCAAAAAAAAGCACACTAAGTATACGAAAAACTTGGGTTGTACATGTAACAATTTTGTAGATGAGGTTTCAAACTTCAGATTAGGGTTGAAAATTCAATTTTTTCAGGTATTAAGCAATTTGAAAAAATTATTGTTTTAAAATGATATTAATTACCTTTCTGAAGTCTTTTTTCTCATAAGCTTTATTTCCTTCTTCAACAAAAAACTGAAGTATCTCCAAGTGTTTTCTCTACAAACCAAAAAATAAAACATTAACAGTAATATGTTGATCTTTTTCTTAGTGTTTTACCCATGAACTGTTAAAAGCTGTCTAAAGCCATGAGAAATCATTCAAACATTTTGTTTACATGTACTAATAACTCAATCTATTGCATCTTAAAACAATATTGAGCCTCTCTATTTTAAGAAAATACCAGGATTCTTCTGTTTTACTTGATATACATACATTATATCAGGGTTCTTCTGTTTTACTTGATATACATACATTATATCAGGGTTCTTCTGTTTTACTTGATATATATATATATTATATCAGGGTTCTTCAGTTTTACTTGATATACATACATTATATCAGGGTTCTTCTGTTTTACTTGATATACATACATTATATCAGGGCTCTTCTGTTTTACTTGAAATACATACATTATATCAGGATGTTTCTGTTTTACTGGATATACATACGTTATCTCAGGTTTCTTCTGTTTTACTTGATATGCATACATTATGAATATGTAAATACAATTCAAACAAATAAAATATTTATTATACAGTTAATTAAATGTCTTTTTTTTTTCCAAAATGTGTGGGATTAAATAGAAGGTCCACAAGAAATGCATGATTGAAAGTCTTGAGCAGGCTTCCTGTGAATTTTCAACTAACACCAATTCCTAATAATAATGATTCTAATTTCTAACCTTAAAAAATGTAATTTTCATAGTGATTGACAAAAAGAACCTGTAAGGCAACTGAAAAATTAAAAACAAACTTCTTAAGAAAAAAAATTATTGAATGAGTAACACTTAGATGTCATATATATGCAAGATAAAACATAAAAAAAGAAAATTAAACAGTAATGAAGAAACAAAATTAAGAAAAACATTTAACATACAGTATACTGAATATTTTAAAAACATTCACCTCTACTGAAAGGGATGGGTGTTGTGGGTCAAGATCTTGTATTCTTTGTAATGTACAGGAAGCTGACAGTACATCACCCAGGACGATGTGGCACTTGACTTCTCGAATGTGTCCCTTTGTTAAGAAAAGGTGATACGAAAATTATAACAAGATGAACATATAACTCACTAATACGAGTATGGTATACAACTACTTGAGAAGTTGCTAGGTTTCTAAGAAATATTTTGAATATATTCATAATACATATATACTCCTAGAAACACTAACTCTTGAACAACTGTGTGTGTTTAAAAAAAAAAGTCATACTAAAAACAAATTAAAATATAAGTTTTTGTGATTGAATACAATACAAATATAAAACTAGTTTTTTATAACTATTTTTACAGTTAAATGAATAACAGAATTGAAGATTTATTCAGTTAAACTCAATATACTGACCTTCTTTTGACTAATAAAATATTTTATTGATACGATATGTTAGTCCCTTAAAACATTAAAAGGAATTTCAGCTTACCTTGACATACTTTTCATCTAAAAATAATGATTGCTGTATATCACTTAAAGCCTTTTGGTATTGTCCAAGCATCATTAAACAGGCAGCCCTATTACCATAGAAGACTGGAGAATCAGGACATAGCTCTGTGAGGAGAGAGAGAGAGCAGTTTACTTGGAATGTCAACTATTTTATGCAAATGTTATAGATGTTCTCATTAAGCATCAATTGCCTGAACTTCCATCTTTCCCTATGTTTCTGCAAGGTACTTCTAGCTCTCATAATGTGTTAAAATGGCTGTAACTTGCTAAAACATTATGGAACATGGAATCCTAGGAGGATGCTGTCTAAGATCTTCCAGCTTAACGTTATGAAATACTGAATCCTAAGAGGATGCTGTCTAAGATCTTCGAGCTTAACGTTATAAAATACTGAATCCTAGGAGGATGCTGTCTAAGATCTTCCAGTTTAATGTTATAAAATACTAAATCCTAGGAGGATGCTGTCTGAGATCTTCCAGCTTAACGTTATAAAATACTGAATCCTAGGAGGATGCTGTCTAAGATCTTCCAGCTTAACGTTATAAAATACTGAATGCTAGGAAAATGCTGTCTGAGATCTTCCAGCTTAACGTTATAAAATACTGAATCCTAGGAGGATGCTGTCTGAGATCTTCCAGTTTAACGTTACAAAATACTGAATCCTAGGAGGATGCTGTCTAAGATCTTCCAGCTTAACGTTATAAAATACTGAATGCTAGGAAAATGCTGTCTGAGATCCGTCTAAGATCTTCCAGTTTAACGTTATAAAATACTGAATCCTACGAGGATGCTGTCTAAGATCTTCCAGTTTAACATTATAAAATACTAAATCCTAGGAGGATGCTATCTAAAATCTTCCAGTTTAACATTATAAAATACTGAATCCTAGGAGGATGCTGTCTGAGATCTTCCAGTTTAACGTTACAAAATACTGAATCCTAGGAGGATGCTATCTAAGATCTTCCAGTTTAACGTTATAAAATACTGAATCCTATGAGGATGCTGTCTAAGATCTTCCAGCTTAACGTTATAAAATACTGAATCCTAGGAGGATGCTGTCTGAGATCTTCCAGTTTAACGTTACAAAATACTGAATCCTAGGAGGATGCTATCTAAGATCTTC